ACCATCTCTTGCCATTATCAAAGGCACTGGAGTCCAGCAACTCTGACAGGCCCCTCCTGGACTAGGGACATACGTTGTCTAACTTCTTTCGTGCTGCAGCATTTCTTCATCTATAAAATGGGACTCGTGCTCACCCTAACTTCTTCCAGAGTTTTTGTGAAGACAGCAGAAGAGATAATGGACATAAAATCTCTGAGCCAAGTAAGGAAATCCCCAGAGTCTGCCGCGACACAGGCTGTTCCCTTGGAGGAGCCAAGGAGACCACACTGAAGGACCCAGGAACTTGCCCCAGTTCACCTGTTGCCTAGGCAACATCAGGAAAGTCACTTGTCCTCTGTGGGCCTTTGCTGAAACTGAGATACACACATCCCTTTCCAGTTTCACCATTGTCTAATTTATTGGCATGCCCCCGCCTGACACCCATCTCCTCCCCCTTCTGTACACACCTGCTAGAAAATTCCTCAACCTCCACACTACCCTCTACCCCACTCATTCTTTCTTTTCCCAGATCTCCACCTCATGGGGAAGCGGCCTTAGGAAGGCATGCTCATAATTTTCAGGATAAACTCTCAGGCAAAGGATTCAATGGGAATCACATCTAACCATCTCCTTGCTAGCATACCAGAAGCCCTCCTAGAACACTTGCTCACAATTGTTTCTTCACTCCTGTGTCCTCCGTGCCCGACACAGAGTCAGTCAGACACATAGAAGGTGTTCCATAAGTGCTTCCTGCTTCAATGTTTGAGTGAATACCCCAAGTCCACGTATTTATTTATTTCATTTTAGCAAATTCACAGAAACAGTTATATAATACTGCAATATGAATTAGCCCCCACAGTTTACTAGCTTAAAATATAATTACTTATCTCAATTTCTATATGAGAAATTTAGGCAGGGCACAGTGATGTTGCCCAGGACTTTGGGTGTAAGATTCAAAGGCTGGCAGCTGGAATGTTGGGGTTTTGCAAGAGGAACAATACAGGACACATAATTTCTATAATTATTTTTAAATAGTCACCCAAAGAGTCATACACAAAGACTTCAGGATATCTGTCCACACACTAAGACCAAAAGAATCCAGCTGAAGACCTAGAGCTCATCACAATGCCTGCCACAAGTCCAGAAAATGAGTTCGAGCAGATTGGACCTAAAGAACAAGGGTCACGACAATGTCCCAGGCAGGCCTGTTTCATGGATCTGAACTGGGAAGGTCCAAAGGCCAGCGGTGGAAGCTGGAAAGTCTGTACCAGTGGGATAAAGGATCTGTGCCAGCAGGCTGTGGGATCTGAACTAGAACCAGGAAGCGATACTCAAAGTAAGATCTGAGCTCCTCAGAAAAGTATGACAGCCATCCTCAGCAGTAATGAGGTCTGAGGGCTGGCCAAATAGCTCAGCAGATTAAAGTTCCTGCTTAGGCAGACGCAGCAGCCAGGGTTCGGTCCGGCCTGCCGTGCTGAGATGGCGATTGAGACTGGGCATGGTGGCGCACACCTGTAATTCCAGCTCCTTGGGAAGCTGAACGCAAGGGAATCATTGTGAGTCTGATCTAGGTAGTGAGACCCTGCAGACCCTTACTAAAAACACAAAAATAAAAAAGAAGCTCCTCCACCAATGAGAACAGCAGAGTTCCTATCAGGAAAGCCAACACTATGAGCCCTTCCAGAAGACTGAGCAGTGCATCATCTTCCCCTCCAGAGCCAGGAAGCGATGCTCAAAGTCAGGATCAGAACTTCCCCAAAATGAACCTTAGCCATTCTCAGTGATGAGGTCCTGAGCTCCTTCAAAGATAAGAACAGCCAAATTCATCAGGAAAGCCAGCATGACAAACTCCTCCAAGTAAACCAAAAACTCACTAAAGCTTCTCTTTTCACAAAAAAAGTACTATTAATAATAATTATTATTAGCTATTGATACAGGGTCTCACTACACAGCTCAGACTCATAGTGGTCCTCCTGTCTCAGCCTCCCCTAGTGCTGGGATTATAGGTGTGTGCCACCACGCCCGGTTTCAGTGGCCTACATGACACACTCCAGGGCGGGTACCATGAGGGGTACTGGGGATCGAACTCCAGTCCTTGAACTTGCTAGGCAGGCACTTAGACTGCTAAACTATCTCCCCAGCCCTACAGCTTCTCTTCTTCTCTAGATCTGCCTCTTATGCTGCCTGCAACAGTCCCCAGATAGGCCTCCCACACAAAGCACCACACTGGTTCAGTTCTTGTCACAAGTTGATGTCACAAGTTGATCACCAGGTGTCAAGCCACCACATGGAGTCATCAGAAGTCTCAGTTCACTGGCCAGCTGGTGAGTGATCGGCTGCTGGCTGAGGACCTAGTAGAGATATCAACCAGAACATCCTCTTATGTGGCCTGGGATTCCTCCCAACATGACAGCCAGTGTCTTCTGAGAAAGGAAACTGTCTCCCTTCTGTGACCTAGCCTTACGAGTCACACAGTATCAGTTTCACTACTTGCTTTTCATTAAAATGGAGTCTCTACATTCAGCCAACATTCAGGCAAAAGGAACCAGACTGAGGTTGTTTGTTTGTTTGTATTTGGTTCTGGGAATCAAACTCACAACCTTGTGCTTGCCAGGCAGGCGCTGTGCTACTGAGCTATATCCCTGGCCCAAAATGGGTTCTTTTGAAAGGAGGGCTAAATAACTTGCAAACATATTTTACACTCAAGCTAGCTAACACAGGAGACAAAGAATAGGGTGGAAATTCTGTGTCTGGAGAAGGAAGATGTCTGTACAAATCGGAGCTCTGCTGTGAGTCAGCAGCACGAGCCAGGGAAATTATTCTTTGAGACTTCCAGGACCTGTGGGTCCTGGACTCTTTCCTGTCCCTGAGCGCCTTTGCTTTCTGACCCTAGGGCAACAAGAGGTTACTATTAGAGCTCAGGGGACCCAGAAAGTTGGATCCAAGGAGAACTTTAAGGAACAGATGGGAAACCTCTGAGAGTCAGGGATTCTCCAAGGCGATGGTGGCAAATGTATGGCACAAGTGTCTCTTGCTTTTCTTTTAAGATAAAAGATGTTAATGTACTTCTTTTTTATTTTATTTTATTTATTTATGTGGGGGGGGGAGCGCAGTCCACCAGGGGGGCGGGGCTGGCTGGCATGTGGTGCTGGGGGATTGAACCATGGTCCCTGTGCTTTGCTAAGCTTGTTCTAAGTAGGTGCTTTAGGTCACTGAGCCATCTCACCAGCCCTGTACTTCTTTTACCTAAACTAAAACCTCAGTGTTCAGGTTTAATCACAGTGCTAGCACTTGGTGATGAACAAGTGGGTTGGGGTTATAGTTTGCCCCTGGTCTCTGAAAGGCTCACCAGCGCTGCCCAAAGGTCTTCTCTGTCCCACCTTGGTGTGGAACTCTCAGCATGTCAAAGGCAGCAAATGTAGACATAATAAATATGAATCTGCCCTTTGCAGGCAAATGTATTAACTAAATATCTGAGACAACTAACAGAAAGAAAAGGTATATTTTGGCTAGCCATTCTGGAGGCTCTAGTTCAAGACAGGCTGTGCATAATATTGGGTCCCTGGTGCAGGACAGAGCAAGTATGGTATACTGCCAGCCAGAAAGCACAGTCAGAGGGATCCCTGGTCCCCAAATCCCCTAAGAGGGAATGTCCCCATCAACTTAAGGACCTCTCACAAGTCCCCACCTCCCAGAGGTTCAATGTCTCCCAATAACACCACCCTGGAGAGCAAGACTTTCACACTGGGCCTCTAAGAGCCACTCAGCAGCCAGCCTGTCACACCCAGCCATCTGCATTTCCCCTGGAGACCACGCCAGTAGGGTGAGGGACAGGTCTCAAAGCACACAGTCGGCCCTAAATGTTTAGTATAGTTCTTTTCAGTGTTCCGTGTTTGAAGGGTTACAGCTCCAGGGAATGGGAAGGGGGAAGGTCATGCTGAGTCTCCAGAGTCCATGAGTCGCCCAGAACAGCCATCTGTACTTTCACCTTTTTGCAAGGACGGAGTCACCCCGCTAGAGCTTCGCACTTCCAGGCCCTGGAGAGCAGGATCCCTCCCTCCAACCCCATCTGCTAGGACCTGGCGTCCAAAGCCCAGTGCAGATGGGAGGAATAGGAGCCGGGAATATTTCTTACTCATGAAGGGTGAAGTAGGATGACTTTAAACCCTCTCACTTCCAGAGGCAGCTCCCAACCCCCAGATACCCTCCCTCCAGAAATGAGTACTAGGAGCAGCTCCAAGTTCATCCAGTGCTATCATCTGCGCTGGCAGATGGTGAAACTGAGGTCTAACGAGGGTGTGGTCTACTAAAGCAAAATAGGCCCCGACCGAGGCCTAGAACCCGGGTTTTCCCCGGACAGGATTCTGGCTTCACGCCAAGGGCCCCCGCGAGCTGTCCCCGCGTCAGGAAACTCCTTCTGCGCCTGGAACCTCCGCGGAGTTGGCGCTCTGTTTGGCCCACAGTGAACTTCCCTCTGCAGCTTCGCACCGACTTCGCTGCGCCCTGAGAGAGAGAGGTGAGAACACAGCGGTTGCCCACTGCATCCTCGGGGTAACTCGGGACACAGGGACAGCTGCGGGAGGAGGACCCGGCGGTAAGGCGCGGGCCCTTTAAGGGGGGGACGGAGCGCATGCGCGGCGCGGACCGGTGGCGAGCCG